ATTCTGCTAATCGTTTACACAGCTCTCTACTACACATAATATATCTTATTTGCTGGACGTTGCATCAACACCAGTGTGAAGGAAGGCAGCAACACACTTTTCTTATTGTTTGCCTTGTACATAAATAGCTGTGGTCCAGGTCTCTACTTCAGCTTGTTAACCACACTTACATTGTTTACCTACAAAACTGGACAGAATAAGAAATGGCTTCAGCATGAAACAGGCTGCAATCATAATCAACCTGTTAATACACTATTCCTCCCTGATTGCTTGTTTCCCATACAAGGTGCTAGGTTTCTATAAAGCTTAATATAGAAGATTGTTTCCTTAGTATAACCATAAAATGTGAGCAAGAATATGACCATCTGTAGGCAAGTCCAATTAGCTGAAGTGACCACATAGAAAGTTTATACGAGGAGGGCCTCAAGGGGGAATATATCAATTGTGACTACAGAACACTGCCAAAAATCAATGGATAGAACACTAAATAATGTACTCCAGTTCTCTCTCGCTCTCTCTTTTTTGAGGATAAGAAGGTAGCAACAGAAGAATCAGTCATAAAAGGGCAGACAATGTGATGGGATCAGTGAGTACAAGGTGCAAAGATACTTCCATATCAAGGTCTTTCACTTTAAGGATGTACGTTTATAAGAAACATTATTCAAAGTACTATATGAAGCTTATAGTCACTTATTACATCACATGTTCTGATGAATAGCTACAGGCATGATAAAAAATATTATTTGAGGAAGGTTGTAGCCTTCCTCATGACATTTATATACTTCTGAAAGGTACTTTGGACTTTGCTTGAAGGACCTCCCAGTAATGAGTCTTCTAGCATAAGTCCCGAGGGACGAGATCGTAGCACAGAGTTTGTAAGGACTGTGAAAGACTCAACAATCCATGCCATCTTCAAAGGTCGTTTTCCTCTTGTAACACAGTTCCTGCTTTTCCAACCTTCAATGAGTATGGATTGCCAATATCTTCCAACAATCTGTAGTTATGAGGGTGATGCTTTCATCATGGAGCTGTAACTGCCTCGTAAGATCCACATGTTCATGACTGGAAAAGTGGTGTGGGTACTCCATACCCAAAATGGCTCCCCATTCCTGCCTCTCAAAAATGTCTTCAAGCCACGGCACTTTCCTGATCCATCAGCACTGATGCACTTTTAATCTTTTGTCATACATGAACCTGAACATGTAGGAGCTGAAAGTCTTTGCCCTATATACATCGATAACATATCCGTATACACATAGTCTATTTATTTAATTTTATTCCACAGCATTCACAAAGAGTTAAAGGAGGGGATTTGGGAGGGAGCTGCAGCGCATGGAGAACAAGATCCCTCTTTTCATAAACATGAGTTTGGGTTCACTGATTCCTCCAACAAGGAATGTCTTGTTTCATTTGTGTTTCACCTATTGTCTTCTTGCCTGCTGTTTGGCACTTTTGGGGGGAGAGCATTTTCCAACAGATAGATTCACTATTTTCTGTTTCCTCACAGCTCCATGTTTTTTTCTTTTTGTTTCTATTCCCCCTACCCCATTTCAATTTTCTTCCCACTCTCTCTAATATTCTCTCTCTCTCTCTCTCTCACTCTCTCTTTCACTCTCTCTCTCTCTTTCTGTCTCTCTCAATCTTGTTTCTTAATCATCCCTCCATCACCATGAGAATCATCTCTGCTTGTTGGGCATTAAGCAAATAAAAACTTTTATTATGGTACCTAGGTAAAATTATATTAAAATTAAATAGCTATGTCATTGGATGCCAGTTTGGTACCAACACAGGGACATAATGCCCCCTTTGCACTGGTCACGACTTGCTTCCACCAAACTACACCTAAACTAGTGTCGTCCCAGAGTATGTATACATTAGTACCTCCCAAAGGCGACTAAATACACAGAGGATAAAAAAAAAAGTAAAAATAATAATAATAATAAAAAATCTGTTGGTCATTTTGCGAATAAAGTGTCGTATCAAAGCACAAACGTCCATTCACTTTCTTTTTTTTTTTCTTCCTAGTTTTTCTTTTTTATTTTTTTTTGGTAGATGGAGTGAACGAGCAGCTGAACTCGTCTTACTTGTTAAGTAATCATCACAGAACAAGTGTGACTCAGTCAGTCATTTTGAGCTTTAGCCATTGCTATCATTTTGCAGGTGAAACTTTATGTTCATAAATAGAGAAAAAACATAAATCCTGATAAAAAAAAGAAAAAACAAAAAATACGAAAGAGTACAAAAGCAAAAAATGACTGCTCTTATCACACATAGGTCTAGGCCTTACAAAGGTCCCAGGGAGTAAAGGGGGGAGGGGGTTCCATCAATCCTCTCAGGCTTAGCGATCCTCACAAGGAGAGTTCCCGTGTTCCCCGTCCCATCACCACCACCACCTCTGCTTTCTTTATCCAGCCATCAAAATTTTGTTCTTTTTCAACCCCAAAATAACTGATTACAGTAAATAAAGTACAAATGCTTAAAACCCTTCCTGCTTGCAGAGTAAGAGACCCAATTTTTAGAAAAATCAGATTTGAGTATATCTTTTTATTGCACATATCTCTTTCTACATTTAGTTTAGTGTCTATATGGGTCCAGGGTGCTCAAAGCTATTTATTTTTAGATGCTATATAAACTAATACATTGTCCCAATTGACCCAACACAAGCAGACTATCCTTCAGACTGCAAGGTGGTGTGCAACATGTAACTGAGGCAAATCCTCCAACCAAGTTTCAGAGTTGGCTGGGGAAAAGGGAGGGGCAGGAAACAGTAGTAATAAAAATAACAGTAACAGTTAAGAAGTTTTCAAAAAATCAATTATAATACAATTGGAACTAAAATAATTTCACTTGGATAGAGTGACCTCCAAATAAAAACATTTCCACACCATTATTGTCATGTAGCCGCCATCTCAGTGCAGGCGTTATGAAATACATTATAAAAAATAATAAAAACAAAAAAACAATGGGGTCACAACAAAGTGTCACGTAACAAAAAATAACGCAAGCACGAGGACTGGTTTCCACAATGATACAGGTGGGTAGTCGATTTTTTTTTCTCTTTTTTTCTTTTTTCTAACAGCTGGGAGATGCAGTGCTTCCGGTGGTGATGAGGTAACACTGGAGTGCTTAGTGCTTGTGGGGGTTGGTGGGGTGCCCCCCTATGGGTGGTGGTGCCTGAGGATTGAGGATGCTCTCATTGGACTGCGACTGAGATGCCGGCAGAAGCACCGCAATGGCCTCTCTCTCGGGTGAGCACTGCACCACTGCCAGTCATTTCCCGCGTCCTGCCTTCTTCTTCTTTCGTTTGAAAAAGCAACAGCACCTGAAAGGAGGGCAAATACAAAAAGGTAAAAGATGTTCTTAATGTATGAAAAACCATGATTAAATTTAATCTAAAATGTCATGCAATTCATAGTATCGCAATCATCATTTATTCAATATTCAAATAACATCCACATTGCAACATGCTACAACACACACTGTTGCAGCCATCGAAAAGAAGTCTGAAGTCTTACTTTGTTTCATCCGAGGTATCGCCTTCTTGATGTACGGTGATGGGGGTGTTGGAATGACCTGCTAACGGGTCATCGGGTCCAAGCTCCCCATTAGTCGAACTCACAACCTGCAGCAATAATGCAATGGTTGCTTAAATCATGGATCACACTTGGAGAGCCTACCAACACTCATTCACTCTCCTAACGTATCATAAACTAAGCTGAGTGAGGAATATTGAATTTCCTTTTTCTCCTAGTAGGGAAATTAATACAGATCTTGAATAACAAAGCATTACCATAATCCTATTTTTTCCCAAATATTTATGTGAAATTAGATATATGTATATAATGCAAAACAAATATAAACATCAAACTCTTCCAAGCTACTGTCACAATCTACTTCTCAGGTATAATTATAAAGCCCTGCAACATATATCATTAGTACTGTCTGTGCAACAATCATTCTCGCTTACACAAAAGCACACAACTTAAGTCTACCTTGAGCACTGCACTGACTGTGGGGGTGAATCAGTGACAATCAGGTGATACACATATCCATGTCATTGTGCATGTTTTTTTAATAACGAAAAGAAATAATGACAAAATAAAATATTCATCAAGACTTATTAAAGAAAGTAAAATCAAATTTAAAGTAAATGAAGCAATCAATCAAAATGTTTCTGAAACCCCTAAAAGATGATGTATCAGTATATATACACTGAGCATTGCTGTGCTTTTCCAATATTCACCAACCATTTTTGAGTCCTGTTCAAAGTTTTCTTGCAAGTCGTTTCAAATCTTTGTTATGTGTTAAAGTCTTAATTTTGTCTTAATCTCCATGCAACATAGATGAGAGCAATGCACCCTTCAGTTTCTTTATTCAAGATTTATTGTCATTAATTCATACACATACATTCATCACCCAATCAAATCTACTATATTTTTTCTTTTTTTTTTTTAGAAAAAATAAAATCAAGATAAATCTATCACAAAGTAATAGACATCATGAAAGCTATCAATTATCCTTAATCCCTCATTAGTATTGAAAAAAGAACATTAATGGAAGAGTACTAATACATTTCCTTAAGTTACTGAACACTCTACAAAGGGAAGTATTAATATTGTATATATAGCCAAACTAACACCATTAAAGACCTGTTGCACAAGTCCACACAAAGCATCCACTGATTTTTCTTTTTTGTTTGTTTGTTTAATAACTAGGTGCTGCCAAGGCTCTTGTTAACCATGCAAGGCTGTGGTGCAAGGAAAAAAGAAGCTGTCGGGAGAAGATAAGCCACAGGAACTAAACCCGAAGGAGCAGGCAATGGTCTCCAGAATATATATATAAATTTATAAAAAAAAGTGACTTGCCACATACTCTCTGCATTGAATTGTTGTCACAGTTGACCCTGCCTATCTCACACACTTTAGGTTGCAAACTCATTCATCTGCCATTCACTCAGCTGGCTGTAATGTCTCAACGCGACCAGCTTATTTCTCCCATGCATCACACCCGAGACCTCTGATAATTCAATGTGCTTCACGCAACTAATTTGGAGTGTGATGTGAGTTCCATGTTCATACATATACAAACAAAGCTTTAATTCATGCAAGGATTCCATTTTTATTCTATAATTTATTAATCTTCACTTATCCATCTTTATAACAGAATCCATTTAAGCAATCTATCTATTATGCATTTCTTTTTTTGTTACCTTACTCAGTTGTGGGAAGCACTTCCATAACTAGCACACTTTTTACAAATATGTAGAAAAGTCAAAAGTGAAGTTCCCTAAAACAGGCTATATAAATATTATCAATCACAAAACAAAATGCAGGAAAAAAATAAAATTGCAGTTAATGCTATTGAAAGAAAAAGAAAAAAATAAACATATGGATGATGCCAGTTATCACTTACAAAATGACCAAATAGCTCAAACACATAGCTCTTTGCAAGCCTGTCAATTCCAACATTCCTCAAACATTACCACTGGAGATGTTCAATCTTCCAGCCTGACTTGTACCACAGGTCACCAAGAAAAAATACAAAAACCACACCACAACCCATGTCCTAGAGACAACTAGACTAAATCTCTGCTTGTGTCAATTGAAGAGAGGCTATAGAGAGAGGGGAAAAGGGAGGGGGCAGGGGAGATTCTGTAGCTGGAAGTGAAAGACTGCAATCTGGCCGCCATAATGATCTACATCCGCTGTGAAAAGAGCCTACAACCGAGAGAATTGCAGAGCTCGCACTGCCAGTCAAGATAGCCAAGTTGGCTGCTGTGTGAGGGAAACAGGAGGGATGATGAACCGGACAATATCTGCCGCTGAAAAAGGGTGCACGGGATCAACAGAAGGCTAAACAATGTAAGTGCAGGTACTTAGCATCGTGTGTTTGGGAGATGGGACTACCCATAATCTCAGGGAAATTTATATGAACAAACTATGTCTATTTATGGACAGACAATAGCAAGGTTGCATTTACTAGCTATTGATGGGGAGGGTGAGAGGGGAGGGATGGTTGGGTCCTTTCAAAACAAAATATTTAACAAAACTCACTCTTGGAGGAGGGTTCCTCATCTGCCCAATAAAAAAAATATAATAAATTGTAAAAAAAGAGGGATGGGGGGAGGGGGAAGCAGAGTCGGAAAAGCTACTTAGTATTCGTAACAAAATCACATAAGGGGATAAAAGGGAAGGCAAGGGTTGCTAGTCATGCTCTATTGGCTACGTAAAGGCCTGATGCTAACAGTGGGAAAAGAAGGAAAAAAATAAAATAAGGTAAAACAAATTAAAAAAAGGGAGGAAAAAGATCAGCCACATGATCAGCAATTCTGAGCACTGGTTAGACTACTAGCTAAGGTAAAATGTTTTCTTTTACCCCCCTAAAAATAAAAATAAAATAGATGGAAAAAAAAAAAAAAAAAAAAAAAAAAAAATCAAACAACCAAAAAGGCAATATAGTAGGGTCACTGGAGGGGGGAAAAACATCAACCTCTATAGAACTCCTTTGCCATGTTCACAATAGCTGATCTTGTGGCCAGAAGCAGCATGGAGAGAGGGAGAAAGAGAGATTGAACGAGACAGAGACAGAAACAGAGAGACAGAGGGGGGAGGGGTTTCAGCAGGCCCGTCGCCAAAAGCGGGATTACCTGGACGGAGCCGTGGCGGTCTGCAGGGGTGAGGTTGCCGCCTAACATGTTGCTTGCCTGCTTGGGGGTTTCGGGCCAGGCTGCATTACCCTTGGTGCCGCCCTGTAACATTGGCCCCGTGGCCTCGTCAGATGCATTCATCATGCGGCAACAACAACCAGCAACATCATCACACTCACACCACATGTCCACACGGTCAAGGGGATAAGAGGGGTCCTCACACATATATTTTTTTCTATTCTCTCCCCACATAACTAAGTGCCTAACTAATTAGACTAACCCTGTGACTGCACGAGACCATCAACCTATCACCATCTGTGTGGTTGTTTGGATAAACCAAGAAATAAAGGCCTAAAGAACATTCTATTTCGATCTATGTTTCAAACATTCCCATATGATGTTAGCATATGATAAGATATGTAATATTACCATTGCTGTTTCAGTGTTACCAGGAATATCTGGATGGACTTGGCCCTAATAAACTAGTTTTCAAAACAACATTAATCGGGTGAAAAAAGCCAAAAAGTACTATTCTGTACCTTAATACACGTTAAATACTGAAATACCAGAAAATCGGGTCTACCGGTACACAAAAAAGAAATCAAACTAAAGAGGACAAGAATGGAAGAAAATTCTGATATCAGTACTAAATAGCCAACTCTACATAACCAAGATTCCCAAATACAATCTGATTTGTCAAAAACCCAGTCAGAATGATGACTGGGAATACTACACTGATCAAACACTAGTGACTCTTCGAGAATCTGGCTGTACTTTTTTCCTACTGTATGTTATTTTTACACAACAGCAGGTTAATAGAAGCTGCTGCCCTAGTCTTTTATGCTTATGCAGCA